CGAGTGTGGAAATTTGACTCAGACAAGGTGATTATGGTGAATTCAATAACATCATTACGTGCGAGCTTGAACACAATAAATGATCTTGTATATACGTTTATATGTATGTAAATAATTATGTTCGTACATAAACTTTTATGTATTCAAACAGCATTCTTTTTATTTAAAAGACCTCCTTATTCCGTCGTGATTTCGGAACTCTAAGCTACGGAAGACTTTTGTAGTTAATTATTCCATAAGTGTGCATATTTTTTCAAAATGCATGCATACCTATGTACATATCAACAAACTTTATATTAGTTTCATGGTATTTTCTCGTCTTTAAGCCTTAACTGAGAAAATATCCATTTATTAAATCACAATTTTGGAGCCGTATCAACCTTTGTTTATTCAAAACGTAAATTGTGAACATTCCTTAGCTCGATTTGACATCTCATTTTTCCTTATCAACTCCCTTATGTGTATAATGAGCTTGTCCCAACCCTGTCCCACGATTGAATTGCTTCCATTCTAATACATAAGTATATAAATACATCCCAATATGAATGTACTAAAAATTCTGTCCATCCATGCAGGATTGAACTTTTACAGACATTGAGAATTCTGCATGCTCAGTAGAATTGTGGGCTACACCCCATCCTGATACATACAAAGAGTGAAGGGCGTCTTACCCAAAATGATCACGGAATTAAGAAGAAATACAGCGGCTACATTTCCCTAAAAAGGAACCAGGCTGACCGTGTCGTCTTGTTAGACAGCTTGGGTAGATTGTACCTATGCACATATACACCGCTGTGTACGAAGTGGCGACATTTCGCGAAATGTGAAAAAATATGGTTGTAAAAAAGTTTCTAAATTAGAAACTAAATTTTGTTCGCTATACAATTTTCGACAGTCAAGCGGATAGTGCGAATATGCTAGAACTTGGAAAATTAAATTGGCACAAATGCATCAAAATGGCATAATTTTCATTGAGTTTATTAATAAATTTTAGATCTTGACCATAAATATTCTTAGAATTTGTTATTGATAAACCATTACAGTAAATTTTTCGCGAAATAGTTTTCCCTTTAAATTTTCTACAAACTTATGAAACATGTAAGCTCACGAAAATAGGCTAGTGTGCTATGCTAATTCATTTTGTGCATTCCCTAGTACTAGTAAATGAGGATAATAAAGGCTATTATTATTATTATTATTAGTATTATTATTATAATATGTTTTCTACTAATAGTTATGTAAGAAGATCTTGGCCACGTATTTTATGCGTGAATATGTAAACGTCATCCGTTAATACGGACTTGCCAGTGCCACCAAGTTGGCAACCAGGGCGCAATCAGGCCCCCCCCCAGAATTTCCAAGCATTGATTCGACGCATAGGTGTAACATGGCCCACAATCAGCGTCAACGTTACATCCGGCAGCGGGATGCCCGGCCGGGGGACCATTCGGATAATATCCAACATCCGATTCTGCAGATTGCCCGGAAAGCCACCAGAAAAATCGAGCTCTCTGAAAATATTTAATTTCGGTAAATAATTAATGAGGGTGTTTACAATTACCTAGGTATATGTTTTTGTCTCATTAGTCTCGTACGTATCACTCTTAACTATTTTCATTCGTTTGGTAGGTACAAAGTTGGGTGCGACGTTGCCACGTTCTCTTTCGCTCGCTCGCTCTCTCCCCTCCCCACCTTCTCAGTCGGCAATGGCAACCTTGCATTTTACACCGCACGATATGTATGCCTATTCCCAAGTATGCATATATATAAGCTTCGCTTCTTTACATGTACTACTCATGCTGGCGACTGGATTATAAAAGTGCAGTTTGTTTTTAGTTAACACAAAATTGCAAGACCGCACTGTACTGAAAACAAAATTGCAAAAAAGCTGAAAACAAAATTGCATGAAAGCTTAAAATAAATTTGCAAAAAAGCTGAAAATAAAAATTGCAAAGAAGATTAAAATAAAATTCCGAAAAAAACTGAAAAGTAAACGCGAAAAAAGTTTAAATAAACTTGCATAAAGCTTAAAATAAAATTGCAAAAACGCCTAACTTAAGAGTTGCCCACATATTGAAAGTGTCAAGACGCTTTGACCAGCAGAAAATGAATGCATGAATCAAATCTAACGAAATTTTTGTGCAATACTAACGATGATCATACCGGAGTTTTTTAATCGTTAAGTGGTCCAAATATACCTTCGCTACCGGTGGAGACAATACTTTGTCGCGAACCTCTCATGAGCGCCTTGCCACTCGTTTCACCAATGTCAACGATGATTTCTCTACAACCCGTGGAAATTTTTCGAAATTTTTTGGTGTCCTATTTTCATGAGAGTCTTGTTTCTTAATTTATGCCCAAAAACTTCCAATGTTTCGACACTGGGGTACTTTTGGGGCGCAGTCTTTTGTATCGACGAAATCAACTTTTTTTCTCGAAAATACTCTGTCACTATTTTGGTGCTATGGCACGTACAGATGTTCGGCCAAAATAAAACGTGTTTGTTTTTGATAGAGGGGGTCAATCTCCTGATGACACACTCTTTCAAATAAAGTTCAAAGTTCATGTTCTTGGTGGAAGGGAATGGATTTGAGACGCTCCCATATTTTACGATTGCCAGCCATTTTATGTATTTAATCGGAAATTGTGCTGGGTTTTGAATTTATATTTCGAACGAACGTCGTTTTTACTTCTACATGAGTAGAACTTTACACGATTGACGCTTCGAGGTCAACGGGGCAGTAGTTTTCATCGTCCATGACGAGAAATTTCTGGGAGTCGATTTCAACATTTTCTTAACAAGTTTTCCAAAAATTGTTTTAGCTCCGTCTTTTTTATCTTCGTTGTATTTTGGCACGGTTTTAATGTCGCTAGTTTTGAAGTCCATCTTATTGGCTTTGATCTTGAGAAGATAGGTTTTTGAAATTTTTAGATGTCTGGATGCAAGCTTCATGGATCTTTTGCGACTTTTTCAAAAAACTTTTTCTCGTTTCTCGTCAGTATTTTGGTCTTCTGGCGGACAGATCGATAAGGCCAAATTTTATATTTTGCATTTTCACGATCCTTAGATATGTACAGTGTCTGAATAATTTTGTCCGGTGCATCCCTTGACGTATAAAGTGGTCACGATCCTTTTCCCGATCCGAGAAAATCACTTTTTCGCACGAGTGGCAAACTCGCTTTTCCACTTCCTCTAAATTTTATGCTGTCATTTTTTAACGAAAAGAGATAATCAAGTTCTATTTTCAGTTTTAGAAAGCTTATTAAATTTACTAATTTTTGTGCATTTTACATCTGCAAAATTCATTTTTAACTGGGTGAACCAATAGAGGGAACCTTGACACTTTCAATATGTGGGCAACTCTTAAAATTTCAAAAAAAAGTCTTAAAATTAAATTTTGAAAAGAACTGAAATTTATATTCAGAAAAAGTATCAAATGAAATTGCAAATAAGCTAAAAATAAAATTCTGAAAAACTGAAAATTAAATTCCGAAAAAAGTACAAAATGAAATTGCAAATAAGCTAAAAATAAAATTCCTAAAAACTCGAAAATTAAATTCCGAAAAAAGTATAAAACGAAATTCAAATCAAATTTTCTAAATAAATTAAAATATAATTTTCCAATAGGCTTTCTTTCGATCTACTATAAGAAATACAACCATAATTGGGAACCACATCCACCATTGGTCAGGGGGGGAGTGGTCAAACAGAAATCATCAAAATCAATGTAAAGTCAGAACGGAACAATATTCTTCTATTCTTTGTGCACCATATGGTGTCATAAATTTACGCAGATATTTCGACCACACCCATTGGCGGCAAAGGGGTGTGGTTGCAATCAGTACGCAATCAAAGCGAGGCGCAAAGCGCCGGGAAGGGGTGTAGCTCGTAATAGTTTACGACGAAAAAGCAGGGATTCAACCTCGTAAAAATCGTAAACGTAATAACGCAATCTTTGATGACAAAATCTTATGAGATTTACATATGTATAAAATTTGGGAAACTTATCTTACGCTACAAAGAATGATGCAAAGGAATTATTGATGCTCTAAAAAATTTTGTTTTATACTTGGAAATTTACCTCCAGATTAGTAGTGCCCTCAATACGAGCCGGCGTGGATGCTACCCGCGATGAGATGATTGATTGAACAACGAATAATAGCGCGATCATGCCAATCATTTTTGCCCCAAGTTTAAGTAGACTAGGTACGTATTGGAAAAATCAAATTGTCTCGAAATATGAATTTCAAAATTTTTTACCAGTTTTTGAAATTCATTAAAATTATAAACTCTTTCAAATTTTTGATTTAAAAGAAATAATGCATGTGGATTTTTTATACGTCAAGTAAGTGATTCTGAAGAGACATGTTTTCGAATTTTTGGATTCGCCCTAAAATTCAAAAACTTATAGCATTTTTAAAAAGCGAGGTTTTGGCTGAATAATTTTTTAAAATTCGCGCCACGCGCTCAAATTTGAGCATTATAAAGAATGAAAAAATATTGGTATGCTTATTTTTTGTGGTGATCAAAATAAAATTGGTCCCAACCAGATCTGAGTTGTACACGTAAAAGACTTGCATTGTTAGTAATGATTTAAATTAAATCATTTTATATCATTTTAATTATATTTAACACGATTTTATCATTATTTTAAACCATTTAGGTAATACCAGTTTCTAAGAGTATAATAATAAATTTTGGCATAAAAATACTACTGACGCAAATTCTCCTAGGTCAAAACAAATTGCATAAGCAACCAGTACTACATACATATGTACAAAGTACATGTATACATGTTTTAGATGGGAACACCAAAAACACGACGGAACTAAACAATGTATCCATGTATGCAAATATTTTACTGCAGTTGCCTAAAATTTTTTATGATTGGTTTTCTTTCTTGCTTTCCTATCGAGTGCATTGCATAAGTACAGATCATTATGCAAATTTTCATGCAATAAATACTTCCAGTTGTTTTATATAAAAGCAACAGAAGCAGTTTTTCTCGTAATTCTTTTCGTAGAGTCAAGATTATTATTAGATTACTCTTACAGCAAGTCAGGACTTAATCATGGCGAATAAAATTTCGTAAAGAAACATTTTATGAAATTAAAAAATTCTCATTGTGAACAATTTTGCTAGCAATTCTAAATCACGATTTGACAACGATAGTGGCCGAGACAACGCGGGGTTTCAAATGGCAATTAATTCAAGTCAGACTCAAAATGGAAATAATTTCGGAAAAGGTGGATTTATGGAAGCGGTGAAAATTCAACGCGCCTCAAAAAGTTACGGGAGTGGACCCAAAGTTCTGAACAATCTAAGCATGACGATCGAAAAGGGGACGATGTAAGTGTTCTATTTTTTTATTTTGAGGTGCAACTATTCTTTTTTTCTGAAATATTGAGGGTGTTTACACAGTCATTTTGATAACTCGTAAAATCTGCGTGTTTCGTAAAATGGTATTTCAAATTTTTACAAAACTAAGGGACCCCCTTGATCTGAGCATGCTTGCAAAATCTGTAACCTAATTTTTTTAATAGTTTTAAAATTTTGTAAAAGTTTGTAAGTTTACAGAATTAAGAGATTTTAGAATGTTTCTAGGGCTTGCGTGAATTATATAGTATTTTGTAATAATTTTTCACTTCGTGTAGTTTTTTTTCTATATTTTTACAGTATATGTATATATAACGATATAAAATTGTACAGTTATTCGCTCCTGGGTTCGTCCGGATGTGGGAAGACGACCCTGTTATCGTGCATTGTAGGAATTCGAAATTTTAATTCCGGGGAGATTTTGGTCTTCGGCCGAAACCCGGGTTCTCGTGGGAGTGGGATACCTGGAAAACGGGTCGGCTACATGCCACAAGACCTCGCTTTATATAACGACTTTTCAATTAATGAGTCCATGCAGTATTTTGCTGTACTGTATAACATGAGCGGCAAAGAGTTGAAGGAAAGTAGAGAATTTCTCATTCAATTTTTGGACTTACCCGAAGCCGAGAATCGGATTGGAAGTTTGAGGTACTTTATAAATATAAAAATTCGAACTTTTTTATGAAAATTTCAATAAAAGATTGAAATATTGTTTTTAAAATTTTTGTATACAGTGGTGGACAAAAGAGAAGAGTTTCACTCGCACTTGCGGTAAGACATTATTTTTATTTTTCTTCAATATTTCTGAAAATTAAATTCGTATTAAAAAGTGGAGACTAAATTAGTCTCCACTTCCTAAATTAAGTAGTCTGACTAATCTACTTGTTTAATATGGGTTAAATTGCCATTGCCATTATTTCTCACTGATAAAATTGCAGTAAGGACTAATTTACCTACACGCACTGTACAAAATCCGATAAAGTCCAAGTCCAGTCACATATTCATTTAGAATATGTACCAAAAAATTAAAACCAGTTTGTTTTTTAGAATGTACATAAGACGTACGTAAGATGTACGTACACTAAAGATTTAATTATTCGAGTTGTTGCAAGTTATGTAAGCAAGGAGAAAAAAGGTACCAAAAAGTGTTATTTAATTTTAGGTATATTCAATTAAACTAGTCCTAAATATGTAACAGCATTTAATATGTAAGCAATTTTCGCGATTTCTTAATGATTTTACTAAGCAGGAATCCTGTTTATAAATGTACAGAATTACGTCCAAGGGTTATGTAAATCAGTCTATTTGTGTACATATGTACAAGCATACACCTGCATTAAGTGGTTTGGCTGACCTCATGCAATTTGCATGATGCAAATATAGGTACACATCTCTCCACTTACTTGTCAACTTTTTATTACGAATGACCAACGTCAGTTACACTGAACTTGGTGTCGCATTTTTTTGGTTTTTCGCATTTTTATATTTATATATCGAAAACATTGTTTTCGTGTTAGGGAAATTAGTTCAATTTTATTTTTAAATCAGGAAACATATTTTAGTTTCTTATTTGCTCACTCAAATGGGTAATTGTTTTACATATGTAGGTATGTACATACATAGGGGCACAGCACATACATATTTAGTTGCACACCTTATATTAATCTTTTCTTATTTTGTCATGCACTCTTAATAATCCGATAAAGTCAAGCAGGTAATGATTTCTGGGTAATAAATTTGGTAATAATGGTTTACCAGGTAGTAAAAATTCGTTACCATGATGGTAAAACTTTATTACCAAACCATTACCATACGGTACAACTTATCATTACAACTTTGGTAGAGTCATATACTTGTGCTTTTCGGTAATGTTTATTACCAGATTATTTACAGTTTGGTAAATATATATATACATACAGAATGATGCGACATTCAGAAACGACTTATGCATTTAACGTTGACCTGGGAATATTTTATGTACCTTATTTCTTTTTGTTTGGATAATTGTTTTGAATAATTGGATAATTGTTTTGGCAATCCAAAACAATTATGGATCTTTCTGTGATTGGGAAAAAAATTGGTTGCTTTATGAAGCTGGAATTTATTATTGTTTAAGCCACGCGGATTACGATCCTGTTACGTGTTGTTTTTATTTAAAACACTAGCATATAAGCCCGTCACCCGCCAGGCACGAGGCAGAATTATAAGCTACGAATGTCAGTCGGCAAAGGACGTGAAAGTAAAGAAAGTCAAGTTCAACGTGAATGACACGTAAATTCAACATAAATTAAATTCAGAAAAGTAAATGTCTCATGTTGTCTTCGATGGCTATATATCTGAGTGGTTAACATTTAATTATTTAATCAGACATTTAATTATTTTGCATTTAATTTATTTTGAATTTTCGCGCCATTCCAAACTTTACTTTCTCTACTTTCACTTCCGTTTCGGAAAAATACTTTCACTTCCGTTTCGGATAATTACTTTCACTTCCGTTGCCGACAAACATTTCCAGCTTATAATATAGATATTGTTTAAATCATTATGTAATATCCAGACTATGCAGTAGTTTATTGGAACGACTATAAAATTCTTACCCTTTGAAAAATAATGTTACCCATTTGAAAAGTAAATGCAGTCTGAATTCTAAACTTTTTAAATACATAATGAATCCAACCTAAAATTTGCCCTTTATCAAGTTAACGTTCGTTTGGATTTAGTAAAGTGTGTTTAAATTAGAATTCAATTCATGCATTTACTTTCCAAAAGGGTGACATTACTTTTAAGAGCGTATACAATTCTTTATTCTTCAGTTGATTCATTCACCGGAGCTTTTGATTTTGGACGAGCCTTCTGTTGGGGTAAAGATAATTTACATAAAGGCAAAAAGTTAAATGTACATATAATTAATTATGGATTATGATTTCTACATAAATACATATGTAGGTCGACCCATTACTGCGGGAAAAGTGAGATTTCTGAAATTATTTAAGTTCCCAAATTTCTTATCATTGATTTGTGTATTTTACCAGCATTTGGAACCATCTCGTTCACCTCGTTGCAAAAAACAACTGCACAATTATCGGTATGCAAACTACTCTCGGATTTTGGCAAATATGCTAGGTACATATGATTTTACTAATTTAATTGCCAGTCAGTACGCACTATTCGGAGGAGGCACGATCATCAAATAAGGCATCTTTTGTGGAAACTATCTACTTACATATTATCTAAAGCATCAACTTGTTTTCGTTAAATAAACCCGTTTTTTTAGATCGGATTAATGCGTGGTGGTCGCCTTATTGCGGAGTCAAGTCCGAAGGAATTACTACAAAAGTATGAAACCACCTCGCTGGAGGAAATTGTTTTGAAACTGTGTCGAAACGACGATATGAATGTGCAGACTGAAAATTGTCGGAGTAGGAAAACCTGTAAGTTTAATGTTCACTTATTCGCACAAATGATGTAAATAAAAAATGTAAATGAACCTAAAATGAAAAAGGGACGGTACATAAGCTATGTCACGCGAGAGGGGCGAGGGGGTGGTCCAAGGCTCCAATGAGATCGTGCCTATATGACACATGCTAAAGGGGGGAGGGGGTCAAGAAACTCCCGATTTCTGCGTGACATAATTTACGGATCTACCCAAGATTATGGTTACATACTTCTCATTGACTAAATATTCGTGATGTTTCATATTTTATGTAGCTAATGGGGGGTTGCTAAAATCACTGAAACAAATGTCTCACCATGCCCCCACCTCACTGGAGGATGTGCCATACGGCGACACCACAGCATTCCAGAGGATTAAGGCTCTCATCACAAAAAACTACATGGCCATGACGAGAAATTTGATGCTCCTCGTTTTCATGATGTTCACTCCGGCCTTACAAGTCTTCGTTATGTGTCTCGCCATAGGAAACGATCCTAAGTAAGGAGAAAACCGCATCGAAAATTTATAAAAATTACTGTTTACCTAAATATTTATTTAATAAATTGCTTCCCCCAGGCCAATGTGGATGGGAGTGGTGAACCATGAAATGAATTATACGCCGTGCTCTACTACCCGGTTGAAGGATCGTGGTTCCATTGAAGGCTGTGACGTGAAGAAGCTAAGTTGTAAATTCTTAATTGAAATACCAACCGATACAATTTACTTGGTGAGTGTACAATAAATATTTGTGTATGTACAGTGCCCAAACTTAGAGGTTCCGGCCCGGGAATTTTTTCATGCCCGGCCCCATTTAAAATTGGCATTTATAAGTCTAAAATTATATGCTCAGTCAAAACAATTTCGATGATAGCAACGACGTTTAAAGTCTGATTTTACGAAAGTGTCTATTTTATTAAAAATTGTATTAAAGTGAATGCACTCTGTACTCTATAACAAGGAAACTGTTTTAAATCCAGAGTAATTTCAAGTTCCCTCTGGATTCATTACATGTTTATTTACTACCCGAAACGGTAAAATTATTTTATAGAGTGCACTCACAGAAAAATCGACACCGAATTGACACCATGCCGGTGTCTATATATGACTCTACCGGTTTGGTGTCAAATTGACACGGTGCGGTGTCAATTATGTTGCACACCGCTGCAGTGTCAACCCAACATGCCGTTGTGAAAATACCAACACCGCGAATGGAAAATAAGTTGTGCTCAGTTATGTTGATTCGACACTGCTAGGTAACAATATATGTGCATCTTAATATATGCATGTCACCACCTGGTGAAAAATCGTCCCCGGATTGTGACAACTGAAGTCAGGGTATTCCGACCTGGGTTTTAATGGGTTGGGTTTTATTGGGTTTTAATGGGTTTTAATGGGTTGTAAATGAATAAAACCCAGTGGGTTTTACCATGTTAAGTGGGTTTTATTTGGGTTTTAATGGGTTTTATTGGGTTTTAATTGAGTTTTACTTAAAAACTACATTCTAAAAGTTAAATACATCTCCTATACGTTAGAAGACGTTATCTCAATTCATTCTAAAGCAGTTTATTTCATTACTATTCTAATATATGAAAATTCGGAACAATTCACTCCATCCTTTAGCATCACAGATTTCAAGTGTTATAAAACAAAATAATTTCCGAATAGATACAAATTCCTAATTATTTTTGTTAAGTTATTACTTAAAACTAATAAAACCCTATAAAACCCATTTAAACCCAATAAAACCCATTAAAACCCATTAAAACCCAAATAAAACCCAATTAACATGATAAAACCCATTAAAACCCATGGGTTTTATAATTTTTGATTAAAACCCTGGGTTTTTCCGAACCCTGACTGAAGTACAGCTTTTAGTAACAAATATTTTATTTTAAATTCAATAATATTAAGCACTTAAAAAATTAATCAAGTATTATTTCAAACATATTCACAAGTAACAAATTATTACACTCACACAAATTAAATAGTACTTTTTGCATCATACCTTATGCACTTTTACAGAAAAAGCTTATATGTTTTTAACACAGTCATGATTTAAAATATATATGAGTAAATTTTTCAGTTAAATTAACTTTGCAGCAAGATATTTAATAACAATTAAATAGGTTCCCGGTTGGACAAATCCTTATTCGTCACTTTTGGCTCCCTCGTTGGGTCCAGCGTCGAATTTTAGCTGTACTGGAAACAATAAATTTCGAAAAATAAAAATACACATAGTAAAATAATTTTAATTAAATGAGAGCAAATTAATGTGTTACATATATTAACGCACCTAAGTCCAGAAATTGGAAGTACTTTAGTAGTCCTTAAACTTATTAAAAACAATTTTTCCCTCGAAATAAATTGAACGCACCAATTAATTCATCCCTTTTGTTGACTTTTCGTGGAGGGGGAAGGAAAATGGCCGCCAAGCAGGCCCGTGCACAAGGAAGCGACTGACACAATTTGGTGTGAAGTCCAAGTTTTGCTTACTGCTGTAACATCGCACCGTGTCAATTCAACACCCTTTCAGAATATCTCTGATACCGGTAGGGTGTCAACGCATTATTCTTCCTCAGTGTCAATTTGACACAACGTTTTGACACCATTTAATGGAGTTGACGTCGACACCGACGGTTGGTGTTAACGAAATTCTGGGTTTTGTTACCAAGTTGCTAAGAGTGTGTAGGTCATAAAAAAATGTATCCGTTGAAATTTAGAGGGAATATGAAACCAACGAATTAGCCAGGGACGCCGTTAGATCTGGAGAAATTTGGGGATTTTTATCGTTTCCTGAAAACTTCTCGGAAAACGTGTACGAATGGGCGGTAGGGGCCGACACGATAGAAAACGAGAGTCTGCAAGGATCCTATGTCAATGTCGAGATGGACTATTCAAGTAATTTTAGATTTCTAAGTATTTAACCAACTGAAATGAGATACTCAATATTTATTGAGTATATATTTTGTATTTCATGTCGTTCCCAGATAAACAGATTTCATTCTACATCAAGAAAGAACTTTACGACGCGTTTGAAAGATTTCTGAAGGGGATATTGATTAATTGCGGGTTTTACAAAGAGTTGGCAGAATCTCCGATTCGGGTAGGTTACACATTTTAACATAATTTTCATATTAATTAGCCACTTACATACATAAACAAGGTCCCAAAAAAGTGGAAATCTTATTGAGGCAGTGCAATCAAGACTTATAAATACAATTAGATTGCAGAATTTTTGCATCACCGCTCTCGGTTTAATTTTCTCTGGATGCACTCTATAAAGCTTTGCATATGCAGGAATTCTTATTTAAATTGAATAAATTGGGAATTCAAGAAGGCGTTTTAACTAGTCACCGAGAGGTGGATTAAATTAACTCAAATGAAATATAATGGCTAACAAAATAATCAAATGTACACTACGTACATACATATTTGTTTTAAAAAGTTGCAATTATAAAATTTAGATATATTAATTTGGATGTTCTATTCTGATGAAAAGACGGGGACCAAATATTGTTTTTAGAGAAAATTGAACCGAGAGAGGTGATGCAAAAATTCTGCAATCTAATTTTATTTATAAGTCTTGATTGCACTGCCGCACTAAGATTTCCACTTTTTTGGGACCTTGTTTATTTAATACTTTTAATTGAGTTGTTCGTTTTGTGTCGACTCAAAAGTTTCAATGATTTTAAATTGAATCGCGATTTCTTAACCGATTTTGACCAAGATTTGACATAGAGCCCATTGTCACTTTTTTGGGGTGTGGTAAATGCGCATAGGTAGTATTTTTTTCGTTGTTTACGAAAAATATACTATTTTTAATTTACTCAAAATCAGCATAATTTTGTAACCAAGCACTATTTACCTACTATTGCCTAACCAATTTTTCATATAAAAATTGATACTACGCAGTCAGTTCTTAACCGATTTTGGTCGTTTTTAGCTTAAAAAATCCAGATTAATCTTATCTAACATTTTGCCATCAGAAAACATCCTCGTATTTCCCAGTAATTAGCTAAAAATCGAAATGTGTTACTAAGGGTACATTTTCGCTAATAAGTCGGGCAAAAATCAATCGATCGCTAGGTCCAATAGCAAATCGTTTTTAAATTGGCTCCAAATGATCTGTGCAAAATTTCCTCAAAATCGGACGAGAAATGACCAAGTTATCATAAAATGTCACTTTTTTTAACGTGAGTAACGGCATACTCGCATACTTACAAGGGACACTCACGACCTGTCGTTTGAGTCCAGAGTACCCACTATGTTTTTTAGAATCTACTTCTTGTTCTTTAGATGAAGGATTCATTCATATTTCCGTGTAAAACTCATATTTGGCGTCGTGCCGTGGCGCCAAATTCACCAAATTTGAATGTTTTTATTTTTGGAACCGCCATAACTTTTGAAATCCTGGACGGATTTTCAAAATATTTAGCAAAAATCATGACAAGGAGTTCGACTTTCTTATTCCATGAAATTTTTTCCAAAATTATTGCTTTCAACTTTTCGCAAAATTTCGTAATTTTCTTAAAAATGGGGTTCGTCGAAAAAATGCTAAAAAAATTTCAAAAATTAGAAATTTTTTATTTTTATTTTTTCTCAAAAATCTAGGCTTTTGTGATCATTTTAAGCATAAAATCTTGAAAATCTGACATAAACTGCAAAAGTTATGGGGGTTTGAAATTGGTCGAAAATGGAAATTTTTAAGTTTGGCGCCACGCCATGACGTCAAATATGAGTTTTACACGGAAATATGAATGAATCCTTCATCTGGGGTCCTAGTAGATTCTAAAAAACATGGTGGGTACCCTGGACTCAAACGACAGGTCGTGAGTGTCCCTTGTTAGTGTTTTTCGTTGCTAGGTATTTTGCCTCACTAACAATGCGATGGTGTGAAGTGTAACCCTCCGATTTGGCTGAAATTTTGAAATTAGGTGGTCCAAGTCAGTACAACTAACGTTTCTTCAGCCAGTTTGTGCGATGGTTGGAGTTACTCAAAATATTTGAGGTCAAAGTTGAAAAAACGGCTGACATTTTTCAGGTGGAGTGAGAAAACTCCACTTCCATTCTCTCCTCCTCGCATTGATTCTCACTCCGAAAAATAATTCATTTCATCAATTTTAAATTTAGTTTATTATAGAAAAACATTAATTATTCATTGCACATGGGTCTTGGTCTTTGTTTTCAAATGATTTGAAAAACAAAATAACCAACGGTTTCGAAATGGAAAGTAAGTTAAGTTTTTCCATGTTTATTTGCCGTTAATGAATTTACAGGGTGTTAATAAAGTCCGATCCCATTTTTCCTGTAAAAAAGTGAAGGCTAGTATAAAAAAAAACTACCCGTGATACTTACAAAAAATGTTCGACATATTTACCTTAGTATTTGGTCTTGTTACCATTTACTTTAACCATGCCCTCAACTCTTTGTTTAAGGCTCTGTGCTAATTTTTCCAATGTGCCTCTGGAAATCGAATTCCATACATCTTGAACTTTTTTTTACTAGCTCTTCCCTCGTTCGGGGTTGTGGCTCTTTGTATACATTTTCCTTAAGTATGGACCACTGGTTCTTCAGGGGATTCAAATCTGGGCCGTTAGCGGCCCACACCCCCTTGCTCCAGACCGTTGAAACTTGCGTCTTGATGAGACTCAAACTCGCTTTTGCTGTATGGGCTATAGCACCATCCTGCATGAAAACTATTTTTCTTTCATTCGGAAATATTTCCTTGTTCCCCATGCTATCGAAATAGATAGGTAATATTTTTTCCATATAATGCTTTGCATTGACTGATTGGCCTTTTGGTATGATATGTAGAGGGGTCACGCAACGTGCACAAAATCCACCCGCTACCATAACTTTAAGCCCGAATTTTGGGATCGCTCTTGATGGTACATCCGATTTGTTTTCTGTCCTGTAACGAACATTTTGTTGGTTCAATTTTGGATATAGTTCAATAATAGATTCGTCAGTCCAAAGGATGTGACTGCGCAATTCTTCACCAAGTCTTTTTTCACTCAAATGGGCACTTTTCTGAAGGAGTTCTTCAAATTTCAGACGGTCATCGATATATTTTTGTGACATGAGAGGTTTTTTTGGTTAGTTTGTAAGCTGTGTGACCCCACTTCGTAGTTTTCACAAATTTTTGCACGGTCACACAGTTAATTTGCTTCTTCTTCTCTTTATAGCGTTTTGAGTCATTTAACTCCCTTGCTCAATTACGTAATGAACTACCGGTTTTCTTGCAAAGTCTGTTTTTAATCATTCTTTTTGTGGTAGGTGACACCTTTCTGGGTCGCCCTGGTCGCTTTTTGTCGTGGACAAAATTTTTATTCTTCCATTTCCAAACAGTTCTGCGGCTGCAGCCCAATTTTTGCACAATTTCTGTAGGTTTAAGC